TTCCTTAATTGCCATTTTCTTGGCCACAATAGTAGCGATGGTTGATTGGGGTTTACTATACAACCTGGCCAGCTCGGAGACACGCACTCCACTTTCATACTTAGCAATGATCTTTCTTCATATCCATAGTAATTCTCACCCTTATTCCTGTAGGGTTGGCACTAGGGCCATGGTCACTTATTTTGCAGGTGAAATCACTAAAAACGCTGTGATAATACGAAATGTTACGATTGTATGCTTGGATGTGACCGCGGAGGCTGGCTTGTAAACACTGCCACCCACGGAACAAGTGAGGCTGGGTCAGGCTGCACGTGGATGTGTCTTGGACGAATCGCGTTGAGCGAGTTTTTTAGCGCTAGGCGAGGCAAAATTTTTGCGTTAAAATGTATCGCTAGGCGGATTTAAAGTTATGTGATGCCATCGTTAGGCGAGGGTCCACTGCAGTTCTTACCGTGAGGCATGGTGAAAATAAACTACCAAGATGGCGTTCCAAAAATGCACCACTGAGTCCCGGATTTTTTTCACAGGGTGCACACCCACCACTCAGACCCATTCTCTCTCATGTAGGCCTACCAGCCCTCTCCCGCTTGATTTGAAGCTGCTAGAATTTATGGGTATAGATACGTCAAATACGGTGGCTCGTAAGACGTATATATACGACCGAAACAGTTAAGGGTATGTGCTTCATACATACTTTGTATGTTTCTCTATTCAGCTTCTCTAGGCACTGGTGGGGATTTAGGGTGCTCATGTCTGATTCCCAGGGTATGTCTGATGCTCTTGGTTTATTGTTTCCGAGTCAATTCTATGGCTGTTAAAATTAAACTTACTGAACATCCCATCTCTAACATTAGTGATGCAGTTCCCTAACCTTGAATTAATACTCTGAACTTCTATGATGTTATGATCAAAGCATATTGTTTTTGTACCAGTTGTCTCTCTTATCAGTTCCTCGTTGTTTGTGAATATCAAATCCAGGGTATTTTCATTTCTAGTGGGATCAATTACCTGTTGGTTTAATGAGTACTTTTCACAAAGCCTCATTAGTTCCCTGGTATGTGCCTGTTGAGCCAGGGTGCTTCCCAGATATATATCTCGTATAACATTACGTTGCGCCATCTTCCATTTTACATAAGGGAGATTAAAATCTCCAAGGAGTAAAATACTATTTGGTGTGGGATTTTCTAACCTATCCACATAGCTATCTATCTTCCTTAGCTGATCTGTGAATTCCTCAGCAGTTGCTGATAGTGTTTTGTATACTAGGATAATTACCAAATTCCTATTTTCAGCTTTAATGCCTAGGATTTCTACTATATCATTCGTAGAGTTCAGCACTTCTGTGCAACAAAGTATCCTTTACATAGATTCCTACTCCTCCCTGTGACCTATTAATTCTATCGCTTCTATACATGTTGTAGTTTTCTATTATTATCTCTCCGTCCAAAACATCCCTTGTATGTGCTTCTGTAAATGCTCCAGACATGACATTCACTTCTGTTTGGAGCCCACTGACATAGCTAACTTTGTCATTTTTATTTGATTTCAGTTCCTGAATATTTGCAAATATGAAGCAGGAATTACCACCTGGGATGTTTTGTCTCGCTTTGTGTTTCATTAGTACCACTGGTGAAGTACTATCTGGTATGTCCCTTGGTGTACAAGCCCCTGGTTTCTCCAGTACTGGCTTTGCGTTTGGTTGCTTATTCGACCTTGATGGGCTGATGCCTGGTTTGGTATGCCCCATTTTGCTGCCCCATCTGCCCTCTGTGTGCCTTACTCCTGTTTGTCCCTTCCTTTGGTTTGATCTTTAATCTTTTTGTCTAAAAAAGATTGCTGTTCAGTTTCCCTTTCTCTGCTAACTCTGTAGTGCTATGCTCCTTTTATATGGTAGTCTGGGCAGCTCAGGTCATAACATTCTCTGGACTGCATTGAAGGCTTATACATTACTGGATGGAAGTATCTGCACTCTTTGTTGAAACGACATTTTCCCTTCCTCACCATGTTGGCACATTTTCTGGTGTGTTTATTCCAACAATCTCTGCCATATAGGCAAATACCATTTGCATAGTATCTGCACATGTTCTGACTACCTATACTCCCAAGTTCTGCCACCTGATCTGAGTTCTCGTTCACTTTCTTCTAGGCTAATTTCTTCCCTTTTCTCGTTTTTGTTTGGTCCTGCTCTAGCTTTCTCTTCCTCCCTTTCCGCTATGTTATGTATCCCTGTGTCATTCTTTTCCGACTTGCTCTGTATGATGTTTTCCACTCTTATTTCCACTCCTTGGTTTTCATCTCTATTTGCGCTTTCCTCCTTTTCTTGTTCCTTATCCCGTTTTCCACTCTTTGTATAAATATAGCAAGCTCCTTAGAAACTTCCTTATGCTTTCTAGGTTTTCAGTTTTCAGAAATGACTTTCTTGTTTTAGGTCATTTGTCATGGTTCCATGAAGCTTTGTACATGATATATGGGATGTTTTTCCACATATTTCACAATTAATGCCCCTCATATTTTTCCCAACTTTTTTTCACATATACAACAGTCTTTATTCCTGGCCATGATCACTCTTAGGCAGGTGTATGTGGTGGGTGATGGGTTTTTATGTGTGGGCTGGGAGGTGGCACAGCTGGTAGGTGGGGTAGGTGGGGGGGCTGGCAATGGGTATCCTTGGGGAGAGGGTAGGGATGATAGGAGGGGGGGCTATGTGGTGGGAATCTGTGGAAAGAAGGCGAGGGTGCGAGGAGGGGGGCCAGGGGGTGGGATTGTTGGCTGGGTGGTGGAGGATCCGTGGAATGGGGTGGGGCACGAGGAGGGGGCTGGGAGGCATGGTGCTTGCACATTATTATAATCAAAAAGAAGCGCTAAGCCACAAGGGCTATACAGCTGGTGCTTGCACAGCTTGTTAATGTATAATTACACCATAAATTGTACACTATCACTTGGGATTAAAAATGATTACTCTTATCCACAAATTCAGTTCACTATATCACTGCCTATTCATATCCTTTTTCCTCATTATAACACTGATACGATAGTTTACACTTCTCTGTCACCTCTGGCAATAATTATTCGCTGGTGGTGGTAGACCCATGAATATATTCCATATATTATACACTATGTATTGGGTATTTGACAGACTGCTGTAATCCACAAGTTAAGATCACTATATCACTGAACATCAATACCTCGTCATTCACTATATTCCTTATACGAGATGAGAAACAGTCCTTCAGTATAAAATACGACACACTGTGTGGTAACACCTTTAGGCCTTGTTCACAACCTGCTCTCCTGCACTTTTATTAATAATATCTTATATTCTCTTATGGTTTTAACAGTAGTCCTTTTTCATTTCTTAACTTTTCTGCTCTTTGAGTTTATGCTAATCCCTGATCTTTGTTATTTCCCCTCACTGCTTTATGTTCACTGCTAGTCACAAGTCATTTCCTATATGGCACCCTCCATAACCATTATTCTGAGGCCTGGCACTCTACATTTGGCACTATAATCTCTATTTTGTCCTCTTCAGTGATCACTGATGCTTCCCTTCTGTGGGTTTAAAAGAGTATATGCACTTTAGGTTTTTACACGCCTATTTTCCACACTCTGGCCCCTCTGGGACTGCCAGATACATACGAATTTGGCGGAGCTCAAATATGCGCGACATCATCCCTGCCTAATAGGCTTACTAGGCATTAAAACACAATAAAAAGTAAATATACACAGTATGTACATTCATTACGTACCTTAAAATATTTGAAGTCTTAATGTAGGGTGAGAGGTGAGTAGTATTTATTTGTAGTCCCAGGTGGACATCTGCCTCTGCTATACCTGCTGGCTACATATACTGCAGCCCTGCAGCCCACAGCCATATTATTACCATCGACATACCATGCTCACCGAGTTTAATCGTTTCTAACAACTACCTTCAGATGCCATCATAAAGGGAGAAGTTATGAATAATTCATGCCGAGAATTGTAAACAAAAGCATTATGTAAAATGTATTAAGGGCGGTGACTGGGCCAGACACAGATTCAGAGTTTTCTCTAATGCTAGACCAGAGAAAACGTAATGTTTTCCCTCCACCGACTCGCCCCTCAATAGCACATAAACATTGCATATTTATATACTATGTAACGTGTTTCTTATATAATTTTGAAGAAAACATCATAGATGGATTAATGAAAATGTCTATATTAACGTAAAATAAGACGTTTAATGTGCCCAAGAGTGAATCACGAACGTATGAGCGGCCCAGGGGGACGCATCTGATACAGACGATTTCCGGGACAAGGTACGAAATTCGGAGCAAAGTTTCACCAAAAAAAGCTGTCAAAATCTGAATCGCATGATATCCGGTATGGACGAAATCTAGGGTTCCACAAGGGAATGTATGGAAAATATATTTTATTGTAATGGACTATTTTATCATTCGTGGAAGAAGCACATTATTATTATTATTATTATAATCAAGGGGGAAGCGCTAAACCCGGAGGATTATACAGCGCCTGGGGGGGGATGTGGAAGGCATTCAGGCTTAATTCGGGGAACTGGAGCACAGATCCAATTCCCTAAATCAAGAGCCCCTCACCAACATCAAGGAACCTTCCTTGAGGGGGAAAGAAGCACAAAACCCATAAGGGTTCAGATTATATTATTATAATCATGGGGAGCACTAAACCCATAGAGATTATACAGCTCCTATTAGGGGGGGGGGGTGGGATGAAAGGTATTCAGACTCAATTCAGGGAATTGAGCAGATCCAATTCCCTCTGTCAAGAGCTCTTCACCAGTGTCAAGGAACCTCCCTTGAGGGGATAGGGGCTCTGAGCCCTATAGCAAAGTATAGTAGCTTAAGCTTCATTACTATAATCTCCTGTGTCTATTTTTCTCATGTTTGAATTTTGGCAGTGCCTCTTATAGTACAGTACAGCACTGTATATGATGTATTAATAATGGCAGAATTAATTTAAAATTTCAAAGGTTGTCGTTTTACCAGGTCTTTGCTGGAAAAGATGCTTGTGTCACACCAGTCCTCACGCTAGATGAAGCTCCTCTTCACCCCCACAATGCACAACGTGGAAGCTTTATTCCGTCATCAACACCTGGCTACTTTGAGCCAGGTCCTGCACCCCGCTTCTCACGCACTCCTGGAACAGCAGGAACAGCAGCTCCCAAGTGTGGCCAGCATACACTTGAAATTCTTGCTCAGTTAGGCTACAGTAAGGATGAGATAGAGCAATTGCTCCTGAATGAAGTTGCCATAGTGGCCAAAGAAAAAGCTCATCTGTGATTTTTCTATGTACAATAATGTTCACTAGATACTGTAGTTTTATATGAGATATGTATGTATATTATATTTATGGGAAAGCCCTAAACCCATAGGGAGCCTGTATGTAAATATATCATGTACTATTACTTTCAAAATAAAAACATATAATTATAATTATTATCATAACTAAGTGCTAAAAAATAGGGCCATACAGCAACTTAATCCATAACCCTTTGAGGGTTGGTCATGTACATCAAAACAGACAAGTTCGGTCATGTACTTAAACATGCAAATTCTAGCGCCTTTAAATCAAGTGGAAGAAAGCTGGTAGGCCTACATGTGAGAGAATGGGTCTGCGTGGTCAGTGTGCACAGTAGGAAAGAAATAAAGGCACCTGCATTGCATTGTGGGAACACCATTTCAGTATGCCTTCTTTACCATGCCTCGCAGTAAGAAACTTCTCACTCCCCAGCGAACTGAGACACTCTTGTTCCCAAGTGACAGTTCAAACACAGATGGAAGTGTCATCAAAGAATTCCATGGTTTTGAGGAGAGTGTGACTGAAAATAATGAACATAATACTGGTAATAGTGATGAAAACCCAGACAACCCTCAACCTTCCACCTCTGGTGTTGGGCCGTTTTGTTCACGTCCAGTTGTACCAGAACGAAAGAGGAGACTCGTATTTTTCCGTGTCCAGGACTCGGATGTGAGCAGTGGTGATGACGGTGATGGTGAATATGATTTCCAAGCTCTTGAAAACAGTTCCAGTAACAAGAGTGAAGTGGAATATTCTCCAGTGAAGCGTCACCATATACGATGCTACATGCCCATAACACTCACAAGAAAAAAATAATTTTTTTTGTCTAATATTTTTTGACCCTGAGAACGAGTTTAGGATTGGGGGTCACGACCGTCAAAGGGTTAAAGGAAGGTGCCTTAATGCCTGTGCAGGGCTCTTGTATGTGGCAACATAATTTCTAGTTGGATTTTTTCATTCATTACCAATTCATATATTTTAACTTATTTTGTTGTTAAACAAATAACCCGCACATAAAAGAGAGAAGCTTACGACGTTTCGGTCTGACTTGGACCATTTATTTTGTTGTTATTGTAATACTCACAACCAGTGAGTATTACATACATGAATAGCTGCTGAGCTAGCACTAAGCAATTTGCAATTGTGAACAAATAGACTATTTATTTTCTTCAAACATTGTTCTTTCCTCCCAAGAGATGAGAATATGAGCCTGCACATAGACAATAACAAAACTGGTGAGGGTTGGGCCATTGGCCCCTTGCAATGAAGACGGACAGGTCCTGGACGAAGCCTGAGCCTGACAAACTTGCAGTTAAGCAGACTTGGTCAACTTTATTGATGGTAAGACTGGACTGGACAGCTGTGCAATATAGAGGATTTGGTCTGCTCCATTAAGTGCATACATTGAGCCTTTGTTAGACCAGATTTTCTATTGAGGGTTTACTGTATATGTACTGCATGTGTTTCTACAAACATCAGTCGGAAGGAAAGAGATTGACCATTTTGATTATTGCTAAATTGCCATCTTTCATGAAAGGCAAGAGAGGATTGCTGAGAGAAAATATATGAAAGTAGCAACTGTTTTACTTTTATAGCCATCATGAGATTAAAATTTCTTTAGTAAATGTCTTGAAAATTATATATTTGAGTTTCAGCGTTGAAAACATAGGTGCTAAATGTTAAGAAAATAAATGTATAGAATCTCCCTATGTAGTGCTTCATGTAAAGCACATGATTATAGCTGGAAAAAAGACAGCTGTGATTTCAAAGAATTCATTTTCCTTCAATACTATTAGAAATAAAGATAATAGATGCACAAGTCATTCTTAATTCAAGTATTGAAGATTGGTAATACACATTACAGCATCTCCTCACTTAATGATAGTTCCGTTCCTAATACTGCGTTGGTTAATGAATTTGTCGCTAAATGAGGAGCATACTATAATGGTAGTGGGTTTATGTCAACCATCTTTGATATCGTTTTAACCCCTTAACTGTCCAAACGTAGATACGATCTCTTGCCCAGCGCTCCAAATAGTGGAACCTTGACTTACGAGTGTCCCAACATACAAGTTTTTCGAGATATGAGCCGTCGCTCGTTCAATTTTTTGCTCCGAGTTACGAGCATGCTTCCCCCTCAACCCACAACCCGCACACCTCGCTTGTTTATCTATGATTCCATGGAAATCATCCTCTTTTTCTTCTCAGCATCAAGGTTCCTTGATGCTGGAGAGGGGTTGTAAGCTTCTCTCTTTTATGTGCGGGTTATTTGTGTATCATTCCAGTCACATTATTGTGCCTTTTTTTATTTAGGGAATTGGATCTGTGCTCAAGTTCCCCAAATTAATAATAATAATAATAACAATGAGGAGCTTCAGAATGCTGCCAACTGGCGCAATGCACTGTTTACTTCGCCTTGGAATTTTTTTTATCGTGTTTTGCTTACATTGTGTAGTTATTTTGCCAAATTTCTTTTTTCTAACCATGGGTCCTAAGAAAGCAAGTGTAAAGGACAGTGCTGAGAAGAAAAAGAGGATGATTTCCACAGAATTAAAGCATGAAATCATAGATAAATATGAGCGAGGTGTGTGGGTTGTGAGGCAGTATGAGAATAGTATGTACTTCTACTACTCTTATACTGCCTCGCATTAAGAGTGTAGCAATTAAGTTCAGCGATAAAGTGTAGCATTAAGAGTGTATCAAGTAGCCTATTTTCCACCCTCCACCTCTGCCAGCGTATGTACACTTTATAAAACCAGTTTATTTCTTTACATTCTCTATTATGTTTCATGTTTTTATACAATATTTCTTATTTATAAATACATTGTTGCAGTGTTTTCCTTATGAAACTAGCGATCTAGTGCAGTTAGTCTCACAAACACTCTGTTTACAGAAGGGTAGGAATGGGAAGATACGGTCAGCATGGCAGCGGCAATGGCCGCCATCACTCATCACATGACATGTTATTCATTCTAGAGTATATATTGTGTTTCTATGTAATTTATATTGTTTATCATGTCATATTAGAGCAACTGTGAGAGATAAATAAGCCATAGAGTTGATATTAGCGTTATATTGAAGTACAGTGGACCCCCACCTTATGATGGCATCACGTTACGTTAAATCCGCCATATGATACATTTGAACGCAAAAATTTTGCCTTGCCTCATGCTAAAAAACTTTCCTCACGCAATTTGTCCGGGACGTGTCCCACGTGTGGCCTCAGCGCCAGTGTTTACAAGCCAGCCAGTGCGGTCGCATCCACGCATACATTTGGTACATTTAACCTTATCCCAGTGTTTTTTGTGCTTGTAACTGCAAAATAAGTCACCATGGGCCCCAAGAAAGCTTCTAGTGCCAACCCTGTGGTAAAGAGAGTGAGAATTAGTATGGAAATTAAGAAAGATTTTGAAAGGTTTGGGACTAACCCTGAGAAGCCTATGCCAGTTGTGGAATCCATTGTGCCTACTTCAAAGATTAAGGAAATGTGTGCAAAGTGGGTTGAACTGCAAACCTTTATGGATGAAAAGGACCCTAACACAGCTATTGCAAGCCATGCTGGTGACTATTACAATGACAATGTTGTGGCCCATTTTAGGCAAATCTTAAAGGAACGGGAGGTACAGAGCTCTATGGACAGATTTGTTGTGCGACAGAGGTCCAGTGACTCTCAAGCTGATCCTAGTGGCATTAAAGGAAGAAGGGAAGTAACTCCGGAAAAGGACTAGCTACCTCAAGTCTTAATGGAAGCGGATTCCTCTTCTAAACAATAACTTCCACACACTCCCCTTCTCCCATCCCATCAATCATCATCAGATCTTCAATAAAGGTAAGTGTCATGTATTCTATTCTTAGTAGAGTAGTAATTGTGTATGTCTTCTTCAGTTTGTGTGTATTAAAATTAATATTTCATGTGGTAAAAAAAAATTTTTTTTCATACTTTATGATGTCAGGAATGGATTAATTTGATTTCCATTATTTCTTATGGGGAAAATTAATTTGGCTTACAATAAGCTCTCAGAAACGGATTAATATTGTAAGGCGGGAGTCCACTGTATTTTGTCCTGCCTCCTGAGAGCAGGAATTTCGCTGGAACAGATTAATGGTATTTCAGTTAATTTAAATGAGGAAAATTTATTTGATATACGAGCAAATTGAGTTACGAGCTATGTCACGGAACGGATTAAACTCTTAAGTTGAGGTTCCACTGTATTTTGAAGAAAAAATATTAAAATAAAGAGAGCATTTTTATATATGTACAGTGGACCCCCACCTTACGATATTAATCCGTTCCTGAAAGCTCATCGTATGCTGAAATTATCATAAGGTGAATTAATTTTCCCCATAAGAAATAATGGAAATCAAATTAATCAGTTCCTGACACCCCAAAGTATGAAAAAAAAAATTTAACCACATGAAATATTAATTTTAATACACACAAACTGACACTTACCTTTATTGAAGATCTGGTGATGATTGATGGGATGGATGGAGGGGTGTGTGTGGAAGTTGTTAATGTTTAGAAGGGGAATCCCCTTCCAATAGGACTTTAGGTAGCACGTCCTTTTCCGGGGTTACTTCCCTTCTTCTTTTAATGCCACTAGGACCAGCTTGAGTCACTGGACCTCTGTCACACAACATATCTGTCCATATTATTATTATTGTAATCAAAAAGAAGCGCTAAGCCACAAGGGCTATACAGCATATATCTGTCCATAGAGGCCTGTACCTTCACTCACATCACCACTAGTTGCAGGCATTTTTCTAATTAAATCCTCATACAACTTCCTAGCCTTTTCACATATGGACGCTTGAGAGATGGTATCTCCTGCTATCTGTTTTTCGTTTATCTTCACCAATAACAGTCTCTCACCCCTCAAGGAAGGTTCCTTGATGTTGGTGAGGGGCTCTTGATTTAGGGAATTGGATTTGTGCTCCAGTTCCCCGAATTAAGCCTGAATGCCTTCCACATCCCCCCCCCAGGCGCTGTATAATCCTCTGGGTTTAGCGCTTCCCCCTTGATTATAATAATAATAATAATAACAAACAGTCTCTCAACATCTTCGATTACTTTTGATCTCTTATTCGAAAACAAAGTTGCACCTTTTGCAAAAACAGCTTCCTTGATTCCCGT